AGATGATTTTAGCCAACTCGGCGCTACGCGCCTCGTTGGCTATCTATCATCTCATATCCAACGCGCGCTCGTGGAATAATTGTTAAATATTAACCAGCGCCTGTGCAAACCTGCTAACCGATTTCTTACGCCCAAGCATATGGCATACAATGAACTCAAATCGTCGGAAATTTACGGACGCCTTCGGATACGATCATTTTTTTACGAAAATTCTAACTATGTGGAGATTGACTTCTCATGCATTTTGCTCGACTCTATGGACGTGGAAATGTAAGGAAGGCTTTAAGACTCAGTGTCGAGCCGGGTACAACATAGAAACTGTTCGGTGTTTGGGACTGCACAGAGGCACTGATTCAGGTCCAATTTAGTAAGTGAACCACAAGTGTAGTTAACAAACAGAGTGCCCTACCATCAAAATCTTTTTCATTCACCAGCTCTTGCACTTGAGAATCAGTGGGGTTTGATCCGAGCATGCGCATGGCATATTTCAATTCCTTGGTCGATAATGTGCCATTTTCGTTTAAGTCAAAGCATTTAAAGGCTTCCCGGTATTCTACAAAGTCACACAGCATCAGAGCAAAAAGTCAGCACAATTAGATGAAACCTACAAGTGTACTGTGTAGTGAATGATTGGACTGATACACCTATAAGTGATTCTGTGCGATTCGATTATCACAATTCTTAGTTGAAATTTGTTATAAACCAGAATGATTCAGTTGCTTGATGTTCTTTCATGGGTTAGCACTATGTATGGGGGCTGACAAGTCCCTGACCCATCAAGTTCTGGACTTGAGAAAAACTGGGTCCTAACATGGACCATGACGTCATCGCGTGTTAGGGAGTTTCAGAAAAACACGACGGCAACGTAAACGGGAACGTCATAAAACAAAAGGTATAATGAGCAGAACAGTGGCTATGCACGTGCGTTATAAATCTTCGTAAATTTCTTTGCGTCCTCTTCAAAACAGTAACATGAAATGACCAAACTTTGCCTTGTCCAAAAAACGCGAACGTGAACGACGACGGCTAATTTTTCAAATTCCTATTTATAATTTAATGCTGTTTTCTACATTCAGTTTCGAAAGTGAGAAACAAACTAAATGACATAAGAGTATCACGAGATCCGTATGTAAAATATAAGTTAATATTTGAACCGACTTTGTCCACGGCATCGCCGTCGTCGTTTCGTTAACTCCCTACTCTTTCAGAACAGTGATTGCCTGGGACTAACTGGTGGTGTAATATTATCAGTTTTGTTTTGATTTTTCGTGGAATTCGGATTTGGCAAAGTGAGCTGAAATGACCTTATAAAGTATTAACTTCCCAAACCTGTACAGCGAGCCTGATTAAACACTCTGTACTTTCCTTCTTTTCATTTCAGAGGTTTGTTTACTCAGCTTAAACCAGGCGTGTCATACTTGCTCTGGCGAGGCGGTCTAATCGGTAATTTAAAACATGTTTCGCACTGTTCAGTATTTATTACTTGACAAACGTACCTCCAATTTGTTCTCGAGTCAATGCTTCCTGTTAAATTTTTGGAAGAAAAACAGAAACAATAAACAAAAACCCCAACCGGCTTACAAAGAATCATGACAAGAGATTCTCTTTTAGTTACTCCTCCCCAAATTCTCCCTCACCATATCCCTGATCCCCAATCATCCCCCTATAATTTTCTTGTCCCTCATTTTTCCCTCTGTCCCCCAATGTTCTCCATTCCTTTATATTTCCCCTGACCTCCTATCCTCTCCCAGCCTCTATGACGCTAACCCCTCCACTGACCTTCCCTCCCCTTGTCCTTAGTCTTGCACCCAAAACAGTGGGCTCGGTTGCTTACAGCAACTCGACCAACAGGCAACTACTTCCGCTCATAATATAAGCGTTTTCTTCTCGACCTCAGTGCGTCATAACGAAGCTTCAACAGGTTTACTAAAACAACATTTCCGCTAATAATACACCATGATAATTTGAATCAACAATACAGGATTTTGTCGGTTGCGTTTTATCGAACAATTCTGCATGTGAATGAACGATTCCACTATAGACCTGCTTGATTAAAACAACATTTCTCGATAACAGTATTTATCATTCATTCGTAAAATTTTGGTTCCAAGTGCTTTTCCTACCATCAGAGATGGTATCTTGAGAGAACGGATTATGACCGTCCAATTATAAACTAGCTAGCGAAAGACGATTTTATCTCACGTAGATAACCGGAAGGACGTCTTTTGGTATAAGTCTTTGTAGGGTTTACTTCAATCGCGGTTTTGAGCTCACAATGAGTATTCGATGACGATCGTTTTCATTGACGACTTTCAGCGATATCTTAAGACGAATTTATACCTTTTCTGAGCGAAAATAAAGAGAAATTTTCCCTAATTGTAGCTTAAAAATAAAGGGGAGAAAACATTTGTAATTTTTGACACAAAAAGGTACGCTTTAATTATTGATAACAAATACGTACATTTCAAACGCAAGGAAATTAAAAACAGCGCCTATCTATAATGCAAATTGTCTTTAATTATTCATTCACATTACTAGGTCGATCACTAGACATTTTTGTCTCAAAAACTTCGTTGATCCTGGCTTTCTTTCTGTGTGTGAGGGGATTTCCAAAAGCACAATTGCCATTAATTTTATCACCCTTCTTAAAGTTAAGGTAAACTGCAAACTCGAAATAAAAACCCATTTCTGTAATTAAGACTGGAGTCATAATAACAGATAGAAAGCTGGGGTTGTGAAAATAACCGTTCGCTAAAACACGATTTAATCTAAATATTCGTAGAATAAGCTTCCCTCCTAACTAAATGTTACTTCATTTTTATTCCTTTCTCCTTTCACTCCAATTTTTTTGAAAATATTATGGTTGAGAGATGGGATAAAATCTAAAACGTTTGTCGAGCATAATTAGTAGTCAGCACTGCATGACTGTCCTGTAACAACCCACTTTTTTCTGTTATTTTTACAGAGGACACGATGGCTATTGTTTAGGCGGAAAGAACTACATCTCTGATTTCGAATGCAGTTCTCCACTACACCAAGTATTTGTTTAGACAAACAAGTTGTCGATTTACTTACCATTTCTAGCTCGGTTGCTTCGGTTGACAGCTCATTAAGAGAGCACCGTCATCAATGCAGTGTCGAAATGACTTTCAAAAACGATGTTGTCTAATTATTTAAGAAGATTGGACGGGAACTTAGCGCCCAGTTCGCGTTGCTATGATACCCAGTTGTCAGCAGAGGTTGCAAAATTCCTAATTGAAAAAAAAAGCCAATTAAAAGAAGTCTTCTTTTGATGTTTGTGCATATTTTAACTTTAATTCAGGCACACACATCCACGAAACGTCCTCTTTTTAAGATGCCTTATTCAGATCACTCATTACTAAAAAACAATTGTGAGAATTTTCCTTTTTAATTTTTCATGAAGTTCTTTAAAGTTAAAAATGTGTTCTCATAAAAGAACGAAAAAAAAAAATGAAATAAAAATAAACAATACTTCATGATCGGTAGCATTTTGCCATCGTAAAAAACACTCCAACGAAGTTTCCAGATTGACTATCCTTGCACAAGAAGCAATCCGTAAAGACGAAAGGCTTTTCTTACTTGTAAGTCAGGTTTGTTGAAATATCGAAAATCATTCCCTCGCATGGACGTCAGATTCAAATCGTTAACAGTTCCGCTCATTGCAGCTGCTTCATCGTTAAAAACAATATGCGTAGATTAGCAATAAAATGGAAAATTGCCAAAGCTACGTTTTCCTACAAAGTGGCGCAAAATAAAATTGTTTTTAGGGGGGTCCTTCACCAGCGTCTAAGTGGAATTTAGGGGGGGATACTAGGATGTTTCATTATTATAAATTACTACTTTGTCATATCAGAGCGGGGGTACATCACACCTTGCGACCTTCCCCTGCTCCACTACATCAATAGCACGTGCGTTGACAGGTATGAATTCGACTGGTTTTCCGAGACCATTACCAGCTGTCGCCTGACTGAACGAAAACCGATCGTGGTTGAACTACTTCCAAACAAATCCAGCTGTCCATAAGATGCCTCAATTTTAGCAATAAAAGCTGACAATTAGCACGAGAAATAATGTGACCTTGGAAATTCAATATAAATTTTTCATTAGCAAAAGAAAATTCCCTCCATTTTTACACGTACTCGTGCATTATCTTGAAGGAGTCACATCAAAGCTTGTACTTCTTTAAAAGCTGAACTCTTTACCATCCCTATTCACCCTTCCTATTTTAACCCGTGGATGTGCGAGGTTCAGGAACGTGAGGGAATTCGATATGTTAATTTTGTCCTGATAGCACGACCTCAGGAGTCTGGGGAGACCATGCATCTTATTAAGATGGTGGACCGGTTGATGTCACTAGGGAGTTTAAGCAAATCACCACGGCTGGCGCTGCTACGGCTATCGTGGTTGACGAGGCTTGGGGAGAGTACGTCGCCCTAGCCCGCCAAAATTCAACTTTAAGCAACGCGAACAACAAACCTAGTACGGCTGAGAAGTTTTAAACCAATAAATTAAGCGTCTTCGCGATAGTTTTTGCACGTCTAAAAACTTAAAATGACTTCGTTCAAAGGGAAGAAGGATTCCGACGTTTGGAAAAAAAAATTGTAAGCGATCCTGTGCACAGTGAATGAGTGAATTAAAATATTTAAGCTTACGTGTTGTAAAATTGCCAGTTTGGAGCTTATAAACACCAAAGCAAAGTTTCTACACGGTCCCTCATAACCCTCGTCATTCCTCGGCTTCAGCTATTTGAATTTCAAGTAGTCTTTGAGGTTTGAAAAGGAAAAGTTAGACTTTCTACTGACGCATTTCTCCTTGCGTTCGCTGCGTTCTCCATGTGCACACTGCTTCGATCCTTCGACAAACCCGGCTGCAAAAATAAAGGCAGATTCACTCGGTAAGGGACAGCAAGCTTGATAAATATTCCCAATAAGCTATTTTTAAAGATGTTAAGTTTATTTCAATAGTTAAAATTGCTCAGGAGAATGTATAAAGAGAGGAAAGAAGCGAGATCAGTTCACGTACCACAGGCTACGCCGAAACCTTTCCACTCGCGTAGAATGATTTCCCGCTACGGCTGGATGGGAACCGCTGACATGCGCAATGACTCGTTTCTGGACAATTTTACTTCCGGTATCCGTTGCAGCGCCAGCCGTAGTGATTTGCTTAAACTCCCTAATATTGGAGAGGACGGTTCTGTCCTGGTGTACCGGTTCACAAGGGAATTACCATTGTTCTTTCTTTGTTTAGGAGTTATTGGTTAGCTATTGTGTATTGTTTGGTCTTTTGTATTGGCTCTTGTGCCAGACATGCACTACTGAATAGCCCACTAATCAGAATTTGAAATAATATCGATTCCCTCTCAGTAAATAGCTCATTTTTTGGAGGGTTGGAATCAAACATTAGGTTTATTTTGCAACCTTACACTTCATCCAACGAAATAGAGAATTACATTCTGCACAGTATATCCACGGGGTCACCATCGTGTCACTTCGATTGTTTTAATTTCCCCATTTACCCAACTAACATGTCATGGTTTCTCTCGAGCGTAAAGTAATTCGGCAAGTAAAAATAACGTGACAAAGTTCACCAACATCTTTGTCGCAGGGAGAGCAGATTGAATAAAGTTTGTAAGTACGACTGCTTAGAGCTTGTGAACAAGAAGATTTTCTGCCCCTGAAGGAGCACACGATTTACAAATAACCGAATGTAAACTGAAATGGGTAAAATTATAAAATATAGGAAACTCACTTCGCCCCGAAAAAAGACAGTTTCCTCTGAAACAACAATGTAGGAACGGAGAAAATCAACATATCTCGGGAATGAGGTTACCTTTGCCCCTATCAAAAAAAAGGAAGAGGAAACGAAAGAAAAATAATACTTTGCAAAAGGGGAAAACAACCAAAGATAACATGTATAAAATTCACTTTTCAAGAATACAAAATCATTTAAATTTTGGACAAGAAAGACGAAGGCAATGCAAAACGGCAAATGAAGCAAGGATGCGATAAAAAATAAAAATAAATAAAAGAGAAGTTTTAGGATGGGGTACTTCAAAAATTAATGACAATGAAATGTTACAAAGAGTTTTAGCCCAGCTAAATATTCCATTATGACTGTTCCGGCGACTGAAGCTGATTTTTCAGTCGCTTAAGTTTCTCAGTGTGCGTGGTTGACGGTCGGATAAAATGACTTCGTGTTATTTGTAATGGAACGTCTTTCCTTGGAAGGCTTAGCTTGTTCGAAACATCCACCAGGGAGGAGAGGGTGAGTTCGTTATCAACACTTTCCTTGCCAAGCTGAAGAAGATAAGTCGCCATACAATAGCCGGTCATAAACGCATCGAAACCCGCTCTGTGACCACAGTCACGTGTCTTGACACCGTTGGACTGACTCACGTGAGCATCACGTGGATACGTCATGTGAGTGTCTTGCTTATCACGTGCACACACTTCCTCGGAAGTGTCTGTTGGGGGCGAATTTTCAGTACCGCGTGTTTTAGTTACATCGTGTTCATTATTGCCTAAAAAGAATAAAATATTTTCTAAATAATTTAATTTCTTGTGATTCAGTTTGATAGCATGTTGTAATGGGGGGAAGAAGCAATACTCTGGTAAAATCTTACAGACCCAACCGTTACGAGCAACAATATATTGCAGAGGGTGTGAATCTTCAGCTCTTTAACTCACCGGAGTTGTGACGCTTTCGTTTTCGCTTCAGCCTCTTGGTTTCTTTCACTTTCCACTCCCGATCTAAAACATCATCGACGTCGTGTGAAAATTGACAAGATTTTTCCCGTGGACAAAATCCATAAGCCTGCAGGAAAGAGAGAAACGTAACAAAGTGAAACTGGAGATTTAACATCTTTACTTAACCCTGAGGGCGACAAGCATCTATTTCCGCTCACCAACTCCTCACCGCTGAATTATCGCAAACTTAAAAAGCTCTTGAATTTTAACTAAATTCTCCTTGTCATTGTCAAAGGAAATGCATAAAGAACAATATGGAGAATATACAGGTTGCTGGCAGGGTGCGAGGGGTAAAAAAGGAGCTAATGCAAAGGCTCTCACTTATAAGTTGAATACAACGATAGAATGTTTTGCGTATGCTCCCTGTTTCAAACGAAAGATCGGAGCGAGTCTTCCCCGGATAGCTCTTTCCACGGGAATGGCAGCTAGAGTGAAATATGAAATAACGCTTGGGCGTGGTCAGAGCTGTGCGAGAGTCGTTAGTAATATGAGTTCATCTTGATCGAGACTCGAAAAAGCAAAATCAAAGAAACCAGAGAAACAATCAGGACTCACTGAACAAGGAGAAAATAAGAACAAAAAGTAATACCAGGCAAACTGCCTAAAGCGCGCGAAAATGCGAGGGAGCAAATCGCCATCGGTGTGAACTTTTCATTTAATTGGTTGAGAGGGTGTGACGCGAGATATCTAGACCCGGCACAGAGTGAAGTAAACAAAAAGCAATACAGTTCCGGATTTCTCCCAAAAGCTTAATTCAAAATTGCTTCGTCTCTGGCTCCTTCAATTCTTTGCTTTTGGTAAAATTGCTTACTAGGTCCTCTGGCCACACGAGTAAGCTCATAGCTGTGTCGATATTCGTATGTATATAAATGAATTGCGTATCTATTCGTGTGTATGTAAATGAGGTGTTTAGCATGTTCTAGGGACCTTGGATCAAAAAAAAGTTTAAGTGTTATTGAAAAGTTATCTTCCAAATTTCGTTCCGTTCATTTCTTAGTTCTCCATCTGGATAACAATACAATAGCCAACCGCTCAACTTTGCGTAGCGTGGTACATCACGTTTAACGGTTTACAATTCAAAAGTGATAACTTCCGCTAGGGAGGCTGAAACACCAGAAAACAAAAACACTCCTTTACGAACACATCATTAAACTCACGTTCAGAGTGCGTTTTAACAAAAAAGCTTACCGCAAATTTCTCACACACTATGACGTCAGTATCAACAGCTTCGTTTTCATCACGTGCTCCACAATAGATGTGCTCAGTGAAACATGATAACGAAACTTCCTCGCGAAATTTCAGACAAACATGCTTTCTTCCTTGGTTTTCATGTTGTATATTGGTCCTTTGACTGAGGAAAGAGCAAAAACCTGCCATTAGCTCAACATAACGAGAAATCAAATGGAATATGTATATGCTGTAGTTCATATTTTTCTTGGAACTTCAGAATTTTTTGCGTCAGTTGTATAGTTACTTTTCTGTTTCTTGTATTCTGAGAGCCCTCAAGATGTAGTTTGATTTCTTTGGTATAGTTAAGGAAACTAAACTCATCCCTGCTCTGCTTGATATATCAAAGCAGCTCTATCTGGGGATCACTGAGGGCCTGAAGGTTTTTGTCTTAGAGATCTTGGGTATCCACCTTAAAAAAAAAAAAAAAAAAATTTACCAGTCACCCCCCACCCCCCCAAAAAATCTATAGCCTTTAAAACTGCAGGAGCACACGCTTAGATGAGATAAGTGTTTTCAGTCCCACCAATTTCTCTATGGTTTTGTCTGAGAACATTTCAAAAAGTTCCTTCTAAGCCTGTAAGAATGATTAAGACTACAGCAGAAGTTTACCACCTTGTAATTAAGTGGCTGTGTAACATTAAACTATGGATATGAAGGAATTCACATTATGAACAACAAAAATTGAATAAAATGATCCTTGCTATGCAATTTTAAAGAGATGTCTGAAAAAAAAAAATTGTACAGTATTTAAAGTGCTATAAAACAGCGCTGAGATAATCAAATCTGGTTATGATAAAACTTCTGCACTTCCCCAAGATTTGAATGCAACAGCTTATACCTGCCCAGCTCCTAATATCAGTAGCCTTGTAGCCAAATTAGTTTTGAGCATTCTGTCAAAATTGGCAGGTCACAGGTTCATCAAACCTTGTGTAAGTCTTGAAATTTGACACAATGCAGATTTCATCATCTTCTGATTTCTTTAGAGCATGAAACAATTTCTTATGAACCCACCACTTTTTGAAAACATAGAGCAAGAATGAAGCAGGTTCTCTCACACTGTACTCTGACACAAACTTGGTATCAAATACACCAGCTGGAAACATTTCTGTTAAATCTGCAGTAAACACTTGCAGTTTGTCGGGTAACTTGCAATAAAAGTTCTGATATAGGAACACCAAGTCCAAAAACCCATTGTGAACAACAACAGGTTTATTGGCAAGAATGAGTTGATTGAAGAGATTTCTCACAGAGTACTGCGGTGTACCAGAAATTACCTGAAGGATAATCAAAAACAGCAATTTAGATTACAGGGTTGTAGCTAAGAAATTATGCTGCCGCCTGAAATTTCAAATAAGCTGGCTCAAAGGTGGTGAAGGGTTGTAAGTGTGTAACCTTAGAAGTGCCCATTATACTTCACCAAGTGATTGCCAGCCAAAAATCAAGCCAGCAAATAGCCACTTTTTCATCTGGAAAATTTTGCCAGCGGCCGGCACTAAGCAACTACCCTGTATTATAAAGAGACTATTAAAGATATTGGAAAATTAGGGTAAATGCACCCCTTTTTTCACTCTGAGGTAGATGAATAGGGTTTCTTGGCTATAATGCCAAAGAATATCAAAGAATAACAAAATTAGTACTTTTTTGGAATTAAGTTTTTAAATATGTTTACTATCTTAACAGAACGGGGAAAGAATAACATAAAATCCATCAAATTTTCTTTAACACATACTCTTAGGTCTTAAACCACACTCATTTGTTTGCTAATTAGTTTGTTGCCTGGCTTTGATGATAAAATGTTTAGCAATCAAGAGCTAGTTTAGTTGTTGATCATTTCCTTTATTCTCATGACCTTAATGTTTGATTCAGGGGTGATAATGTTGGGAGGAATTAGATGCTGGTCACTCTTAAGGATGCAAGGGACAAGCCACTACCTCTCCCACTGTAATATTTATGGGAATATTCAACTTAACATTTCCAGTACCTTGTCATCTCCTCTCGAATATGGAACACCTTTAGCATACTGTTTGTTAAAGTCAAAGCCATGTCCGACCAAAAATGTCAGAGACACTGGTTCTACTACAAAGTTTTCCGTGCAGAGGACAACAATGTTGAATGTCTTGATCCTGATGTTCAGTTTTGTATCCGATTCTTTGCAGTCTGTATCATTTCTCATCTTTCTCTTCTTCAGTTTGAAACAAGAAATACCAAGAGAGAGAATGGCTCTGGATTGGGCCACTTCACACATGTATTTATACCGATCCTCCACAAATCTAAGGACATACAATTTTTTAATGAGTTGGATGAGGGTTGGATGTTTACAAAAACCTGTTGGGGTAGTTTGGGTCTGAAAATTTGGAATTCAATCCATTTCAGACTTCAGTCTTCAGACTAATTTATAGAACTCAGTTCAGTTTACAACAAATTCAAACTAGAAATATGCAGAGAATAAGCAATACAAAATAAATAAAGAATAAAACCTAGGATGGGTAATATGTCAACTGGGACATTCTAATAGCAGGCAGAGTTCCAAAAGTGAGATGCAGCAAATTTTAGTGATTGAAGACCATATTGTGTGTGTGGTATTCCATATACTTCAATCAAATCAAAGTTGGAAATAAATAAATATATAAATAAATAAATGGAAATTAAAGGTAATAAAATGTTAATTATTCAGACAACTACAGAAGCTGGAGAGCAAAAAGTGATATCAGAACAATGTTGCTCACTGAGTCATTAGATTTTTTCTTTCTCCAATTCCACTCATCTCCTGCAAGAAAAAAAAAATCCAAAGATGCACTTATTTTCCAAATATTGCTCAAATTTGGGCTTTTCTTCAGCCCTTTAACCCCTAAAGAGTGACTAGCATCTAATTTCTCCTTCCAATATCACCCCTGTAAGACACATTTTGATCAGGGGAAGAAAGGAAATGATCACCAATCGAAGAAGCTCTTCACTGTTAACCAAATTCTCCTTGTCAACGACTTAGGAAATGTATAGAGAACAGTATGGAGAGATTACGAAATTGAAATTCGATTAAAATGAAAATTCAGTTGTAATAATATTCTTCCTCCCAATTCCCGAGCCTTTTTCAAAAATTTCAAGGTGGTATTACGTTTGAAAAAACCTTTAATAGGAAATTTCTTTCAATTATGCTTCCTCACGTACCGTGTCCAGTGCCACGAATGAGGATTTGTTTATCGCGCGAATCATGAAAGGCCATAATACGGCAAAATTGTCCGCTGAAACTTCGACCACAGGAACGTTCTCAAAGCGCGCAGCCATTTTCCCCCAAGAAACACCAAAATCACCAGGCGTTCTTGACAAGTGTTCTAGTAAGACCTGGGGCGAACATCGTTCACGTGTCGAAGCAACAAAGATGGCGGTTCACAATCGAGAAACGAAGTCTGTATGAGAAAGGCCAGTTATCTCATAGAATACACGTCGAAGCTAAATTTAAAAGTCTAGAGAAGGTTTAAAGTACATTAGAAAACCTTTAAGTGGTTGAGTATATATTTAACAGCGGAGATCGACCGTTAGAATGAAGTTAACTGCAGATCTTATACTGCAAAGTCCGCAGTATACAAATGCTTTGAGAGACAGAGAACTGGATTTGCGGGGTAAGTAATCGTTCATTCTACGGTTTAGGTAAAGCAAAAAAAAATTGTTTACGATTTCCATTTTGGAACGAGTCTCTCAACGGATAGATATTCTTGGAAAGTGAGTGTGTTGTTTGTTATTTGGGGATGCGTCTAGTTCAGATTTTCTAAGTTGACCAGCTTACATTATTTTACATATTGTCTTGTTAATCACACTTTAGGTTATAAAATTCCTGTGATCGAAAATCTTGGAGCGACTTTGGTATGTTTGTTTGTTTGTTTATTTCAATCACTGGATTATTTCGCTAAATGCCATAGTAAAGTTGGAAGACTTATGACTCTAGCAACTTACCTAGTTCTTTGTACAATGCTTTTTAAAGTAACACTCTAAAAAGTTTTTAACCTCCTTGGCGTTGACGTTTACAGATACAAAAAATATTGTATTATCAAGAATTCATCGTTTTTCTTTTACTTAAGATCCTAATGATTCACAAGATCTGATTTGTTAATTCTCCCCTCTAACTGCTACACATTACCTTGAAATTCAGTTACAAGAATTTAGAGTCAGAAAGATAACTTTCTTCCTAATAAGTTTGGATATTCTCATCACCTGTTGCTGGATAATGTATGGATATTAAAAGGAGAAGTTCTCTTCTGGGAGGTAAAGTTTCAACAGTTGTTTTATTGATTTTAGGACCAGTTTGATACCATTGATATGTCAGAGAATGACATCCGCAAACTGGAGGGATTTCCATCACTCAAGAGATTGAAAAGCCTACTTTTAAACAACAATAGAATATGGTATGTTAAGATGATTCATCTCAGATATTTCTAATGCTCAGACAGACACATGGATGTATATATACTGTATGACAGGCTTTTTCTTTAAGAATTTTTTTGTTTGAAAACAATTTTAGGTCTTGTGACCACTTACATTGTACATTATGTCTGCTATTACTTTATTAGCCATTGCTTTTGTGTTTCTGTTACAGAAATGTATGGGTAAAAGCTTGGTTTCCTGACATTTCTTGCATTATATTCAACACTTGTCCAATGTGAAAAGTTTTCATAAACTATTATTCCTGAACTTGTACATTATCTTTCTCAACTATCAAAAGTGTTCATGATTGCAGCATCTTGTATTTGTAACAGACTTAAAAGAAATGTCACTTTTAAATTACCACCTTGTTTGTCTGGTCATTTTTTATGTAGTTTGTTAGTGCTGTAGAGAAATTTTTATGCCAGTAAATCCATGCAATATTAAACTTTTTTGTGTAAAAGACTGTAATTTGCATGACAAAAATGTTGTGCAATGGTGTTTTATGCAGTATCTAACATTTTTAAATATATATCCTATTGAAAATTGGTAAGTGCAGTGGACAATCTTTGGATAGAGGTAAGCTGATACTGTACTATACATTGTCTTTGGAGTTTGGATGGCGTCACCCGGATTCCCAGATATCCTTCCTTAACTTCTTTGTGTATAGTTCAGTACAGTGGTATTTTGATGCTTGAAACAAATGACAAGAAGGTATCATCCATAACACAAGACTCAATTGGCAAAGTTTCCATTTCTTGTTTCAGAAAAATCACTACCCAAAACTACTTTTTGCAACCTATTACCCTCTTAATGACTTTGTGATGTATTGAGGATAATTTTTTTCTTTTTATGAGGGTTTATTGTTGTGTTATTACTCCTCAACTTTCTTACAAGGGCCACAGTAAGACAGAAATTGTAACTTTTTTGTTCATCATTTAGATAAGTTTTAGAAAACTGAAATGTAAACTACTTTGTTTTTACTAAGAATTACCAAAAATGGCATCAAAGAGGCATAAAGTACATTTGAAAGCTTGACCCATTTGTACCAGTATGTCATTCTTGTATGTCTTCACAAAGTGTAAAACTTATCTGAAACTTTTTGTTCTCCCATGTATGAAGTAAATCATGATTTATTGTTATTACTGTTTATGTAGCCTCTTCAACTAATATTATTAACAAAAATAACTTTTACTTATTTTTGCCTCATTTTGTAACATACATCTCTCTCTTCTGACTATTCATTCATTATTTACTTGCAGTCGTATCACAGAACACTTGGAGGAGAGTCTACCAAATTTAGAAACTATTGTTATGACATCAAACAACATGCAGGAATTGGTACGTCTTACCGAGTCTTTGTTTAATTTATTTTCCTATTTTATTTATTATTGACAATATTCATGTTTTATGGAAATGCGGTTATTGTGTGGATTGTTGTAATTCTTGTTATCTGACTGTGTAATTTCATTCTCTTTGTTTATTTTTGTGTGCAGAAAGACTTGGATCCATTGAAGTCTGTTAAAAGTCTCCAGTACCTCAGGCATGTGTTACATATTTTTTTACCCTTTCTTTAGAACATCTCACTCAGTATTCTCCCTTATTCAAAGCATGACAGGTGAAAGAAATTTTAAACCAGTAGAGCACCCCTTTTACTTGTTGAATTTTCTAGAATTTTGAGCAATTTAGGCAGTAATAAGAGGTGCTGCAGATGGTAAATTTTACATTTTACTACATGAAAAGGAGAACAATGCTCACCATTATTTGTATTGTCACACTGTTGACTTCATTAGAGGCACCGATGTTTCAACTCCTTGTCTCCTTGCTGAGAGATAAGATACATGTGATAATTCTGTGTACTTCACCTCAGAATATGTAACTGAGTATTATTAACCCATTAATAGCTGCAGCTTTTGTGAAAAACTGTGTTTTGAAGCTAGTTGAGCAGATTTCGGGTCACTGTTGTGGTTTTAAAAGCTTAAACTTACCACAAACCCATTGACAGCTTGTACGCTCGACGGCGTTTCGATCCAAATGCAAAATGGCGGCCTGAAAATCTCGGACACGCGCAGAAAGCAAAATTTGGAAAAGTAATGCCCCACTTACCACTTTTACTTTTCTCACTTTCTCCTGCCCTTTTTCCCCCTCTCCTTGCCTGAAGTTTCCCCTCACTGGCTGGAAATTTAGTAGGCTTCATTTTGGCGTAGAGATTTTTTTGGAAACTACTCATTATTTGCAAACCACATGATCAGAAAGGTAGGCTGGTAATGGAACAAGATTTTCATGCAGATTTTCAGGTCAAAGTTACATGGTTTTTTGCCCATTTCTCCAATCTCCTTCACTCAATTGTGCTCATTCTAGTATCGTTTGTAAGATATTTTCAACCTGTTCAATTGCGCTCTCAAAGTCGTGCTCCAGGGTTAAAAGTGATGACATCACAAGGTGTAGAAAGGGTCTGGGTCCACTTGGGCGCATATAGGCGCACTGGACATCAAGGTTAATTAATCTTTTTTTGTCTTCTTTTTCAGTTTGCTTCGAAATCCAGTAACAAACAAACCTCACTACAGATTATACGTCATCAACAAATTGCCACAGTTAAGAGTGCTGGACTTTCAGAGAATAAAACAACGGGTAATAGAAAAAAAAAATTTTTTTTCTTTTGGTTCAAATCTAGTATGGTGTTGAATCTGACATGGTCATCATTAACCCTTTGACCTCTAAGAGTGATGAGCATCTAATTTCTCCTTACAATATCACCCCTGAATCACACATTAAGGTCAGGAGAATAAAGGAAAAGATCACCAACCAAAGAAGCTCTTGATTGTTGAACACTTTCTCCTTGTAAGCACCTTAAGAAATGTAGAGAGAACAGTACAGGGATGTAGATAATAGCCAGAAGCCAGGAAAATTACCTGGCTGTGAATGCAATTTTTCCGACTGTAAAACACTACTTCCTTCTCCAAAATTTTTTAAAGGTTGCCAGAAGATTGTTATTTATTTTTTTCGTTTGTTTACACCTGCATTGCTGTCTTACCTGAACTGAAAGGAATGTAAACACTCCACTTAGCGCAACGATCGCATCATTCACATCGCATCGCCCATTTTGCAGGCTCAATGGCTAGTGGTATTTGTACCTCATGTATGCAAAATATTGAATGCCCTTGATTTTGCTCCCAAAATCAAGGAAAATGCATCTCCGAGAGTATGCATTTCAAAATTTCCCAAGGGACCATGCCCCCGGACCCCCCTAGGTATAGCGTGCCAAAGGCACGCTAGATTGGACCTTTGGCCCAAGTACCCGCCTATCATTGCTAGATTTCCGCTTGTTAAAATCTTTAGCTACATCCCTGCAGTATGGAGAATATGTGCATTGATGTTGGGGTTTTCAACTGTCAATCCAATATACTTTCTTTCTTTGTTGCTAGAGATTAAAAGATTTTGCTGTTGCCAGTAGTAATTATTATGGTGGTGTAAGTAAATTGCTTTACCTGATGAACTGAGTAATGTAGCTGTTTTGTACTGTTGTTTTTAGGAAAGGGAAGCTGCCAAAAGAATGTTTAGTGGCAAACGAGGACAAGAGGGAAGTCAAAAGGGGAGAAAGGCTAAGACGTAGGTTTATGCTATTTCCTGGTTTATCAACTCTATATTTTTGAGCTTGCAGAAAAAACTGTAACCTTTCCTCATAATTTTAAATCATTCTCTAACCAACAGGGAATGATAGTTGACCAAATTATCAATTGTAGAGTAAGTTGTATAGTTTACACAAATTCTCTGAGCTAATTACAGGGAAGGTTGTGGTTAAGGAGAAGTAAACATCAGTTCTTAGTGGAGAGACGAAAAAAGTAGACATTGTCTGGCAATGTAAAAGAACATTTGAACTATATGACCAATTTTTTTTCTCATTTTTTGAATGCAGGTTTGTTCCTGGGGGATCACCTGCTGGAGCAAGGCCTTTGCCAAGCAAACCTCTTCCACAACCCTCAAAAGACATTGCTGCTATTAAGGTAAAAAAAATTACAGTCAGTAACAAGTGATTTTTAATCATAAAACTAGCAATAAATATGGCACTTTTCACAAGCAATAATCTCATTTGTTTTGCAAGGACGAGAAGGATTTCTTTTCTGAGTGGTACAAACTTTTGGTAACAACTGCAGTTGACATCTGATGGGGTGAACCTGTTACTTTTTTTACAGAGTATCTATCATTTAATTAATTTGTAACTATAAATATATTGTTTCATTCCTTCAGGCTGCCATTGCAAATGCCCGCTCTCTGGATGAAGTACAAAGACTTGAGATGCTTTTAAAAGCTGGTCAGGTGCCCGGAGGAAACAAACAGAACAACAATGTCGATGAAGAGATGGAAGATTTGTCAAATGGCACATGAACAAACTCTCTATCAGATTGTTTCATTAGTGTTATGACTTGTTTTTTCTTTTTTTGTGCATAGATTTGTGGTCAACCTGACAGAGTTTCAGCAGTCCATTGGAACTGGAAATATTTATACTTTCCTCAAAGATATCATGGAATCATGCTCAGTTTTAATACCCTGCGTTGGGAATGTCCCATAATGTTTCATATGAACTTTGCAAAACCATCCTTCCCAAGACAATATAGTGTTGTGTAACAACTAAACTGGAAGTCACTTTCTAAATTTTTCAATGTCAAGGATATTGTTTTCTTTTGTATAAGATGATAAAGATTTCTGTAATTCTAAACATAGACAAATAAGAATACCTGCCAGCATATTGTGAAAGTTAGAGTTAATATGCATTTTCATCTTGTGAGACTGAACTTCTGATGGGATTACCTTAAATATCCTTATTTCCACTTTTGTCTACCTTAGTGTAAAATAACTTGTATGTGTATCCTCTCTGTTGTCTCTAGCTTTCTTTCTTTTTTAGAAAATAAAATCAGTGAAAATGAAAAGCTCCCAGCCTGTATCTATTTTTTCTGCAAACTGTGAATATTTTAAGAGTAGGTGTCCTGTGGACCATCTTCTCTCTCCTCCTTTGGTACTTATCTTTCTTAACTTGTTCTCTTTGTTTTCGTCCAACTACAACTGTTAATTTTTTAAAACCCTTTCAGATGCGGGAGTGACTAATCAGTAATTTTTCCTTACAATACCAATCTACCAGCTATCTACCGGCTATCAACCAGAAAGGTGACGAGAAGAAAGAAATATTATATAAACAAGGGCATTTTGTTTGAATGAACGCCAAATTCTCAGAGCTACAATTATAACATTTGTATTGAAGACAGAGAGGAGAATTGGTTATATCTTGGGTGTTCGGGGAAATCGAGCCCAATGCAAGCCCGTTAGAACTAGCATGGAGCGTGTAAGTGACCCCATCCATCGTTCCACTGCTTCAAATATCCCGAGGCTTAAATTACGATCAGAAAACTATAAAAAATTGCCTCCACTAATTTGACAATGACAGTGAAACTAGAGCGCTTATCTTCGCGCGACAACTCTGGAGTTGCATTCTGTGCGGTGCCTCACAACTGATCCAGCATATTTCCCTACGGTGTGTTTTTTTTCGGCGCGCGTGTCACCCACGGAATTAACGGCTTCACTTGATATTTGGAATGGGGAATTTGTAAGATTTTAAACTGAGACCATGACTTTCTCTAGATGATATCTTTATCAAAATAATAATGCCGACCAAATTGTAGCGAACTGTGAAAGGAATAACTTCCATAAATTCACCCCCCAAGTTTCAGAACAGTCACCCTGAGTTTAACGACATATGAAAACACCATAGATGGAGCGCGAAAATCTGCTCAATCTTTTCATTAAAAACGAGGGACAGCTAATGCAGGAATCATTTAAGTTGGAAATAAATAATGCACTATTAGTGGTCATGGACTTTCATAACATTTGGTGGCTCCTAAAGGAGCCGTTGGTTTTGGCGGGAAACCCACAAAGTGAGTTTACTTGCTGCTGGTGTACTTGGTCACTGCCTTGGTTCCTTCACTCACGGCGTGTTTAGCCAGTTCACCGGGCAGAAGCAGCCTGATGGCCGTCTGGATCTCGCGAGAGCTGATGGTCGATTTCTTGTTGTAGTGGGCAAGGCGGGAAGCTTCGGTGGCGATGCGCTCGAAGATGTCGTTAACGAACGAGTTCATGATGCCCATGGCTTTGCTGGAGATACCAGTGTCAGGGTGAACTTGCTTCAACACCTTGTAGATGTAGATAGCATAGCTTTCCTTTCTCTTTCCTCTCCTCTTCTTCTTTCCATCAGTGACGGCCTTAGCCTTTCCGGCTTTCTTCTCGCCTTTCTTTCCTGCAACTTTAAGTGGCATCTTGGTTAATCACTGAGATGAATAGATTGTCAAAGCAACTCGTTTTGTATTTATAGCAGAATCATAAAAGGATCTATTACCATACGGATCGAAATTCTCGATCAATGATTGGCTGATGGACTGACCCCCGGGTCAATTAGAACGTCATTCTATCAAAGTAAAGAAATATGTAAACCACAACAAACTCCATATGATTGGTGCCTTTCGATCCCTCCCGCATATCTAACAAACTATAGATATCAGACTTTTCTTGTGAATCTTTATTCTGATAACTGACTGTCAAAGCATCTCACGACAAACATGTCTGGTCGCGGTAAAGGTAAAGCGAAGGGCACCAAGTCCAAAAGCCGTTCATCCCGAGCAGGGCTTCAATTCCCAGTTGGTCGAATCCACCGTCTTCTCCGCAAAGGCAATTACGCTGAGCGAGTTGGCGCTGGTGCTCCAGTGTACTTGGCTGCTGTGCTTGAATATTTGAGCGCTGAGATCCTCGAGTTGGCGGGCAACGCTGCTCGCGACAACAAGAAGACGAGAATTATTCCTCGTCACCTTCAGCTGGCTGTGCGTAATGACGAGGAGTTGAACAAACTGCTCGCCGGCGTCACCATCGCACAGGGAGGTGTTCTTCCCAACATCCAGGCTGTACTTCTGCCTAAAAAGACCGAGAAGAAACCCAAGGCATAAATCAGCCTTTCGCCATTTAGAAAAAAAACGGCTCTTTTAGGAGCCACCAGATTATACAAAAGTCTTGACCAACTAGATAAGTTCCCAACTTCTTAAAGAATTTCTAGCTGTTAACAACATGAGCAGGAGTCACTTCGATTTTTCTTTTGTGCTATTTCATTCTTGGACCGAAAACTTCAGAGGACTTGAATTGGGGGGAGAGAGAGTTTACATTCCTAGAAGGATTCGAACGCTCACTCAGAACATCCAGGAAATTTTTGCATATGAATAAATAAAAAGGGAATTCATGGTCGGCAATTTCATTGCTTCGAACGATTTCGGCTCCCATGCCTGAAAACGGTCACAACAGTTGCGCCAGTTTAGTGTTCCCAAGAAATACCACAGACAATTTGGACATTAAAGATAGTCTGATTTTCACTCTATGGGGGAAGGGGAGCAACTTTTTCTAGGCACTCCGTATTTAAGATTTGGGCCCTTTCAGTGCAAGCAAAGTAACACGGTGGAAGTCTTTTTGTCTTTCCTTTTGATCGGCGGCGAACTCCAAGCCATGACGCGAATTTGAACAGCTTCATGGGAAAAGAAAATCGATTGTATGATAATTAAAACGTAGAGACAAAGTTAGTGAGTAAAAAGAGAATGCAGCTAAGGGACTTATGTAATGGGGTAGTGTGCAATATTCTTGTCTGTGCGCTTCTGCGCCATATCGTGACGCGCGAAGAAAGTGATTATTTTTTTTTAGATTCTTTTGCAAGTGAAGTGTAAGCATTAGAAGTGGTTGCATAGAGGCAAATGCATTTATTGGTCACGACTTTTCTGATATTTGGTGGCTCCTAAAGGAGCCGTTTGTTGTGTTTAAAGAGGGTCTGTCTAACCGCCAAATCCGTACAAAGTGCGGCCTTGTCTCTTCAAAGCGTACACCACATCCATGGCTGTCACAGTCTTCCTCTTGGCGTGCTCGGTGTATGTCACAGCATCACGGATCACGTTCTCAAGGAAAACTTTGAGAACACCACGAGTCTCCTCGTAGATCAGGCCAGAGATTCGCTTGACGCCGCCACGGCGAGCAAGACGACGGATAGCTGGNAAAATAACATCACAGATCCGTTAGATTATTCCCAGCGTTCGTACCTAGCCAATAAAATCTCTTAATTTTGAGCCAATCACAAGCAAACCCGCCAGGTATAAATAGTTTTCTAGGTTAAGTTTACAATCATCAATTCTCCTGAGTTGTTGAACAAGATGGCACGTACCAAACAAACTGCACGAAAGTCAACCGGTGGAAAAGCTCCACGGAAACAGCTAGCCACAAAGGCAGCTCGTAAGAGCGCTCCTGCTACCGGTGGAGTCAAGAAACCTCATCGTTACAGGCCTGGTACAGTCGCTCTTCGTGAGATCCGTCGTTACCAGAAATCCACCGAGCTGTTGATCCGCAAGCTGCCCTTCCAGCGTCTTGTGCGAGAAATCGCTCAAGACTTCAAGACTGATCTGCGTTTCCAGAGCTCGGCTGTGATGGCTCTTCAAGAAGCTAGCGAGGCTTACCTTGTTGGTCTGTTTGAAGACACCAACTTGTGCGCCATCCACGCCAAGCGTGTAACCATCATGCCCAAGGACATTCAGTTGGCCCGCCGAATCCGTGGAGAACGAGCATAAACGGACTACACTTCAAATAACAAACGGCTCCTTTAGGAGCCACCATATGAATAAAAGCAATGACCAATTCATGAGCCCCGAATAACCAACCTACACAACTTCTAAACTTAAATTTAAAATATAAAATTGATCGGACTGAAATTGTCATGTTACGCCGGTTTTCTTGTTTTTTGGACTACTCTTTTTTTTTACCGGTATAGAAATAATGCAAAACTTTAATCCATGTATTGGAAAACATCGGATCTTTTATTTCCAAGAGAACCAAAACACCAATTTTTCACCATTCTTCATTTGCAACTGCGCATTACCATGTATCCTTTCACTTATTTTAGCCTTTGGCGCAAGTATGCAAATCATCAGTGCCAACTGACACGTTCGCCATCATTTGGGTAGGTTTCTTATATAAAAACTTGACTCGCATGTCTTATGAATTATAAATTTTCAATATAATCATATTTACTTTATTCGAGAAATTTAGCACACCTGCCATCAACATTACGCATGAAATGGTGGACTTTGTAGCTTTGTCCTTGTTCAAATGTAAAGACGGCTCTGTCTTTGAATTAGCATCGAAAGGCTCATTTTTCTCATACACAGGCATACCTTACGACGCATGATGCATGTAAATTTGAAGTTTTCTCTTCTGGGATGTTTGGTTTGTCGGAGAACCGAACCTACTATCTTACCTCGTTTAAAGGTCGTAAAAGTGACTCTTTATCGATCGATAATATACTGAATATTCACAGATAGTCTGCTATTTGGCGTAGTTCTAAACTTCACATCTCACTGCAAAACGCACAGGAAACCTATTGCAGCATTTAACAAAAACATCATTGCCAGCTGGCTCGCAAATTTCTGCTTTGTGAATAAACTTTTATTTAAGAATACATCTCATCAACTTTACTCCGCTCTTGGCGTAAAATCTCATTGGGAGTCAAGAGCGCGCAACTGATTCATGCAAAACTAGCTCGTCAGAATAGCAAGACTACTCTGTCACACCAAATACAGAACCGTGTTCCATCACCATTACTTTTCCAGCTATTTCTTAAATATTCTTCCTATCTTTAGTTCGTTTCCTTCATTGGAAACATTTAGCATACCACTTATCAAAGTCACGTATGAAATGGCGGATGTTGTAGTTTTGTTCTTCTTGTTCAAATTTAGAGACCACTCGGCCTTTGAATGTGCATCAAAATGCTTATTTTTTCATAAAAATGAAAAATTTGGAACTTCCTCCTTCCTGAAATATCTCGTTTACTTTTGAAAAGCAATTTAAACAGAATTTATTTCATCATTTATTCAAAGTTCTTCTTGGAATCTCACTGCTTCATAGACTTTAGACCGTCAATTGTATCTCTTACTTTGAGTAAATCAAAGAAAATTTTACATATTAATTTCGGAATATAACGTAGCTAAGTTCTTTTTAAATAGGAAGCATCTGAAGTTACTGAGTTAGCCTGCTATCGACAGAAATGTCAAGCAAACTAACACAGTTTGGACGACGCCATTTTGACAACCCTGTTTCCTCGGTGGTCCGTATAGGAGGAATAATATTACTCTGCGCGCTCTAAGCACTTATTATTTGTCTTAGTTCCGAAGGTTCTACAGCACTCAACATGTCCGAAGCGAAAAAGAAGCCGGCTGCACCCAAAAAGCCAGCCGACCATCCACCTTATTTGGAGATGATTAAAGCTGCCATCTCAGCATTAAAAGAGCGAAACGGCTCTTCCCGCCAAGCCATCGAAAAGTACATCAAAGGCAACTACAAGGTTGGTGAGGTTAACCCGCACTTAAAGATGGCTTTGAAGAGGGGCGTTAGTAGTGGAAAGCTGGTCCACACCAAGGGAGTCGGTGCTTCTGGTTCCTTCAAAGTGCCCAAGGAGGAAAAGAAGGAGAAGAAGCCAAAGAAGAAGCCAGCTGCAAAGAAGAAGCCTGCTGCCAAACCAAAGAAGCCTGCCGCTAAGAAAGCAGCGAAGAAACCAGCGGCCAAGAAGGCTGCAAAGAAACCTGCCGCTAAGAAGCCAGCAGCGAAGAAGCCCGCAGCTAAAAAACCAGCGGCGAAGAAGCCAGCGACGCCTAAAAAGCCAGCAGCAAAGAAGTCGGCGGCTAAAAAGCCCGCCAAGAAAGCTGTGAAGAAATCGCCAAAGAAGGCCGCCAAGAAATGAGGAGAATATAAACTCATTCATTAATCAAACGGCTCCTTTAGGAGCCACCACATTTAAAAAAAGTTATGACCAACTAAGTATTTTACGCCGTCTTCGATAATCATAGTTGAGTTTAATTTTGGTTGTTTCCCCCACCATAGTTTTACCCACTAAAGGTCGCTTTATTGAGTTTTAAGAGAAGACCGTTGCTATAAGAAGTGTAGAGCGCGTAGCGAGGTTCACACGCTTAATTTTGGAATAGGCACCTTAACCATTTCATGTCGTTTTGTAACAATTTCTCTACAGACGCGCCATGACAGCTACACCGAGTACACAATGGTGTTAGCCTCGTCACGCATCACGTTTTCTTCGTCTAACCCGAAAGAGCAAGAAGGGCTGGCAGTTTTTAAAATCTTTGACATCGCTCTGAAAAATTATCGGTCCCCTTGTGCGCTTTGTTAAAAAATATTTCTAGGCAAAGCCATCAGTCTTAGCTTGTAGGTTCAAAAGTTTTCTATTTTCTTGAATCGTAATGAGCGACTTTTGTGCTCCGCTTTCAAGCGTGAAAACAAAGCCGCGAAACCGCAAAACGCTTGCGAAGAAAAAACTTGCTAATCCGCCACTCACGCTTTAGGCAAGGCCACTCACTAGATTCGCAAACAAATTGTCGCGATAGTTGTTATAACAGCACATGTATGAACTGAACAAAGCGAAATTAAAAGGGCTGGCTTAGGTAAATGACTCTACTACTCGCAGCCCGTTGAATAACCACACGCACGTTTTTGCGTTAAAAAATCTAGCCGCGTCAAGTACGTGGGTCCTAGGGAAAGCTTTAACTCCGGAGATCTACTGTAGATCGAAAACACTTCGGGACTAGAGCGCGATTTGTCAGACATTAAGTACGCAGTAACCGTTAACAATTTAAAGAAAAAACAGTGGCTCTTCAAAGTTTTAATGTCTGTTACGACAACTTGTATAAAAAATAATGAAACTTTTTCCTTCCCTGTTCATCTATGAACATTCTGTTCCGTGTCGTCAAAACAGTTCGCGCGGTCGGTTAAAAAAGGGAGCTGATATACAAAGAACATTTTACCGTAATCGGAACATCATAGTTTAAATTATAAGGGGGAACATTTACACATAAACTCATATTGCGTCGATAATGACTTTCATAATATTTGGTGGCTCCTAAAGGAGCCGTTGGTTTTGGCGGGAAACCCACAATTAGGTGAGTTTACTTGCTGCTGGTGTACTTGGTCACAGCCTTGGTTCCTTCACTCACGGCGTGTTTAGCCAGTTCACCGGGCAGAAGCAGCCTGATGGCCGTCTGGATCTCGCGAGAGCTGATGGTCGATTTCTTGTTGTAGTGGGCAAGGCGGGAAGCTTCGGTGGCGATGCGCTCGAAGATGTCGTTAACGAACGAGTTCATGATGCCCATGGCTTTGCTGGAGATACCAGTGTCAGGGTGAACTTGCTTCAACACCTTGTAGATGTAGATAGCATAGCTTTCCTTTCTCTTTCCTCTCCTCTTCTTCTTTCCATCAGCGATGGCTTTAGCCTTTCCGGCTTTCTTCTC